CGGATTAATTAATAGTGACAATCTTGAGTGAGTGGGCTTTATTGACATCCGGTGATGCACTTTTTCGGAATGACATGCGTGTTTGTGAACTTCAGATTTGTTTACTAAGACGACTGCAGTAATGTCATGGGCTATTACAACATGCCAGCTTAAAGTGTGTCAATTTTACACACTGTTCTACTTCACAACAACATTTCATGTCAGCAGCAGCGAGATCAGTTATATGTATTATAGATCAATTATTAAGGGCAGTTTACAACGACAAATACCATAGCCAAAGACCTTGCGCGTGAGCGCGCTGTCTGTTGCTCTCACTCACCTGACTGTGCAGTGCTCGCCCTAAACACCACGAAAGTGATGAGGAGACATCGAAGACACAGGGGAAACTTCATTTTGCACGGTTGCTGACGATAACTCCCGTAACTCACATGTCCAATAAGGTATCCCGTTATTTAAAAGGAAATTAAACGAAACGTATCGGCTCTTGACAGTTTCAGAAACTGGGTCCCCCCCCGCGCGTCATGGCGTCCTCCATATGCCCAAATAGTTCGATACACAAGTTAAACGCGACGAAAACAGTAGGTTCGTTTGTAGTTTTTATGGTGACCAATGTTTTGACCATTGATATTCCAATGCAATTGCTCCTCACACTACGATCCAGCCGACGGCTGGGGGGGTATTGACACACCCCTTCCGTGCTACTAACACCTCCTACAGTCCACTGATTGGTCGAGGGAACGGATCTGAGCTTAATAAACACGCCCACATCACTTATCACCTTCTCTCATTGGCTCATTAGGATTGATATACAATTGTTCTGTTGATGCACTGAGTACACCTGTCTCAGACCCTGGCCTATAAACTTCCCTATGTGTGCGTAAAATGCGCATAGCCAACAATTGCATCGGAATAACTGTTTGTATGCGAAAAGTATTGTGAGTTTCTATTTTACTTTCTCTTCAGAAGTTGTATTTGTTGACAGAATTGGTGTCAACACTGACTAGGTGTATTTGAATAGGCCTTTAGTCTACACGTAACCTTACACAGAGGAGAAGAATTGTGCATACTGCATCCATTCTGAGCATGACGTGCCCAAACCAAAGTAGGTTAACCACATCACCCACGTAGGCCCTCTAGAGCAAAACGATTAATATAATTTTGTGAAACCAATTAGGCATGGTTCTTTTTTTAATCGATGTCAATCAGAATACAATATTTTCTCAAAGTCAACAATTGCCGTGAGAGAAATTGGCCAAAACACTCTAATTAATTAATTATGTATATGTTCCTGCCTCTGGGTCTCTCCGTGTCTGTCAAAGTGTTATGTGATGTATAGATAATATATGGACTATGATACTTTTACAGCTACAGTCTCTGTAAGATTCTAACAACATACTGCGAATAACCACAAGAGGGCCAAACTATATAGGCTTACTATGCATTTCAACAAGGGTCCAACTGTAATACAGTAGCATCCCCTGTAGTCCACACAGTGAATTGAATAACTGTTTATGCTTATAATCGGTAAAACGTAGGCCCACTCCTGTGTCTTACAGGGGGGAAAGCAAAGTAGGTCTACATCTTATTAAAGGTAGGTCTGTGGTTATATATATATATTTTTATAAATATGATACAAATTAGGCTAATCTGCTAAAGTAGATCATCTAAATGACTAAAAAATGTAAAAATGTAAAAGTCGGAAGTTTACATACACTTAGGTTGGAGTCATTAAAACTCGTTTTTCAACCACTCCACACATTTCTTGTTAACAAACTATAGTTTTGGCAAGTCGGTTAGGACATCTACTTTGTGCATGACACAAGTAATTTTTTCAACAATTGTTTACAGACAGATTATTTCACTTATAATTCACTGTATCACAATTCCAGTGGGTCAGAAGTTTACATACACTAAGTTGACTGTGCCTTTAAACAGCTTGGAAAATTCCAGAAAATGATGTCATGGCTTTAGAAGCTTCTGATAGGCTAATTGACATCATTTTAGTCAATTGGAGGTGTACATGTGGATGTATTTCAAGGCCTACCTTCAAACTCTGTGCCCCTTTGCTTGACATCATGGGAAAATCAAAAGAAATCAGCCAAGACCTCAGAAAGAAAATTGTAGACCTCCACAAGTCTGGTTCATCCTTGGGAGCAATTTCCAAACGCCTGAAGGTACCACGTTCATCTGTACAAACAATAGTATGCAAGTATAAACACCATGGGACCACGCAGCCGTCATACCGCTCAGGAAGGAGACGCGTTCTGTCTCCTAGAGATGAACGTACTTTGGTGCGAAAAGTGCAAATCAATCCCAGAACAACAGCAAAGGACCTTGTGAAGATGCTGGAGGAAACAGGTACAAAAGATTCTATATCCACAGTAAAACGAGTCCTATATCGACATAACCTGAAAGGACGCTCAGCAAGGAAGAAGCCACTGCTTCATAAAAAAGCCAGACTACGGTTTGCAACTGCACGTGGACAAAGATCGTATTTTTGGAGAAATGTCCTGTGGTCTGATGAAACAAAAATAGAACTGTTTGGCCATAATGACCATTGTTATGTTTGGAGGAAAAAGGGGGTCGCTTGCAAGCCGAAGAACACCATCCCAACCGTGAAGCACGGGGGTGGCAGCATCATGCTGTGGGGGTGCTTTGCTGCAGGAGGGACTGGTGCACTTCACAAAATTGATGGCATCATGTGGAAGGAAAATTATGTGGATATATTGAAGCAAGATCTTAAGACATTGGTCAGGAAGTTAAAGCTTGGTCGCAAATGGGTCTTCCAAATGGACAATGACCCCAAGCATACTTCTAAAATTGTGGCAAAATTGCTTAAGGACAACATAGTCAAGGTATTGGAGTGGCCATCACAAAGCCCTGACCTCAATCCTATAGAAAATGTGTGGGCAGAACTGAAAAAGTGTGTGCGAGCAAGGAGGCCTACAAACCAGACTCAGTTACACCAGCTCTATCAGGAGGAATGGGCCAAAATTCACCCAAATTATTGTGGGAAGCTTGTGGAAGGCAACCCAAAACATTTGACCCAAGTTAAACAATTTAAAGGCAATGCTACCAAATACTAATTGAGTGCATGTAAACTTCTGACCCACTGGGAATGTGATGAAAGAAATAAAAGCTGAAATAAATCATTCTCTCTACTATTATTCTGACATTTCACATTCTTAAAATAAAGTGGTGATCCTAACTGACCTAAGACAGGGAATTTTTACTAGGATTAAATGTCAGGAATTGTGAAAAACTGAGTTTAAATGTATTTGGCTAAGGTGTATGTAAACTTCCGACTTCAACTGTATGTATGGTAGTTGATGCCTTAGTAATGGTAAATATGTATGTCTTCTAACTCATTACACTCTTAGAAAAATGGGTTCCAAAAGGGTTATTTAGCGGTCCCCATAGGAGAACCCTTTTTGGTGCCAAGTAGAACCCTTTTTGGTTTCAGGTAGAACCCTTTTGGGTTCAATTTAGAGCCCTCTGTGGAATGGGCTCTACATGGAACCCAAAAGTTTTCTACCTGGAACCAAATAGGGTTCTTCAAAGGGGGACAGCCGAATAACCCTTTTAGGTTTGAAATAGCACCTTTTTTTTCTAAGAGAGACCAATGATACACAAACAGGTCTAACTTATGACAGCAGCCGCTCATATTGGTCATTGGCTATTATCTGCTGCCATCTAGGGGATCCTATTAAGATGAGTCCAGTTTTATTGGAGATATTTTGGATTCTGGGGTGGGGGGGAAACACAAGACCCATTCACATATCAAATCAAATCATTTATAAAGCCCTTTTTACATTAGCAGATGTCACAAAGTGCTTATACAGAAACCCAGCCTAAAACCCCAAACATCAAGCAATGCAGATGTAGAAGCACGGTGGCTAGGAAAAACTCCCTAGAAAAGGCAGGAACCTAGGAAGAAACTGTTATGTTTGTTCCTTTAAATAATGACAAACCGGGGCCTAGGTTGAACTACGTTTAATAAACTGATACTTTAGCTAGCAATCTCCTTGTGTAGCCATGCAAGGCATACTTCAACTTCCTCCCCTCGCATAGCCTGCTGGGTAACGTAGTCTTCATGTTATTAACACGTAACAACACAGAAACCTAGAGAGGAACCAGGCTCTGAGGGGTGGCCAGTCCTCCATCACAAACCCTCAATCATATTGATTGCATTTGCATACATCTCCAGCAGCAGGGCTTATAATAAATAGGACTTTCTCATTGGCCAATATCAGAACTACAGCAGACACTGCATACTAACCACAAAGCCAGACTCCAGTGCATTATCTGAGAATGATTGATATTGTTCCCACTGCCCACTTTATTGAATGAACAATGGAATAAAGCTTTAATATTCATAATGGGATAAACCAACCGATGGATAAATTAGGGAGGATGCACCACCTGTGGGAGAGAGCACAGGCTATTATATACAAGGCAATTACTTGTAAAATATGGTCAAAATTATAATTGGAAATCTCAGAACTTGTCAATATGACAATACAAAATCTAAATCATACATAGGCTGTGATAGCCTATGATGTCCGTTGTGCTATGTCAACAGTCCTGTGCGCTCTCTGTGGTATTTTGGGCACTGTGGGCTACTTACAGTGGCAGACTGTCCACCTCAACAGCAACAGAATAACTTGAACTGGACATTCCTTGTTTAGAAACTATGAGGAAATACAATTAATTATATATGGAAGCATAGACACAGAAAGTAGTTTTTTTTGGGGGGGGGGGGGGGGGGTGAGAATGTTTTGCACTCCAGAAAGACCCAGTGCACTACTTTGTTTTTTAAATTAATACTTTTTTAAATTCTGACTTTTCAGGGGGTGTAGCACCCTCAGCACCTCTACTTCCTATGTCTGGAAGTTAAGCAACGATTTACCAATTCTTTATGGATGGCTCCACGACTTGGGTGTCACTCCTGTCCCCAGTTAAAATAGCCAACTGTCGTGAACAATGACTTCAGTTGCAGCATGCATATTCATTTGATGAATCAGTTATTGCAAAGGACAAGGAGGTCGGAAGAACTAGCGCATGAATACACTGAAGTAAAGAACACGAATGAGAAGTTCGGTGACTGCCGCGTCTCTTCTGTGCAATCCAGAATAAGAAGCTATGGCACTAGACTGTACATCGCTGACAAAACTAACCCTTGTTTTATGTGTGGCAGGTAAGTGTGATTTGATCAATTATATATAATAGCTAATGCTATTTGTTGTTTTTCTTTTGTTTGCTGTTTTTTTTATTACATATTTACGCAATATGCCTCCCTGGCGCACTTAGCATTCTTTGCAGATAGCCGAACCGTCCCAAGTCGTCTACAAATTAGTTACATTGACCTTTTTCGTTTAATGTAGCCTATAACGCTTATTGCGTCATCCAAACGTTTGACCATTACGCAAAACATAAATAATGTGTGCTGTAGAATGAAGCTAAGGATTACTCATATTTTGACATTACACAATTGTCAACTTAATCGATTATTGATGTTATAAAAGTGAAGTGTCCAGCTTTAGGATTTTGTACACCATTCACACAGAGCATCTGGTCTCTTAGCTTTGGCCATCAGCTTCCTTAGAAATATGTATTTCAAATTATTCTCACTTGGAGCCTACACATGATCATGATGAAAATTAAAATATGTTCCCAAAATACTGGACAAAACAGCTGACCAAGGTGAAGGACATCTGTGCCAACCTGAATGAATCAGCAGCATCAAATGCATGAAGATGCAGTCAAAGTCAACGCAAAGCTTTCTATGAACTGATCTTTATGCGTTTGACCAAAGCTTATTTATTCGGCTTCCCACTGGGCACACACTGGTTGAATCAACGTGATTCCATTGAAATGACATTGAACCAACGTCGAATAGACGTTTAATTGAGGTATGTGCTCAGTGGGTTGTCCCCAATTCACCAACAGGAGGATGGAATTACCAATAGGAGCCTAATTATAGATGGCTCTCCCATTACATTAGTCAGAGAACTCAAATCAAAGGTTATTGCTGAGGAAACCTTGTGCTTTTAAAGGCACAATCTGTTTTTTTTTTGCTACTGTCCAATGGTAATTTAACTGCCATTGGGCACTTTGCTGTTTCACTTTTCTGTCACCCCTGGCAATTTTACCTTGTGTGGGAGCTGGTCTCATTCTCAGTGTCAAAAGAAGTGTGCACTATTGGCTAGAGGAACTAGGAGAGCCCATACAATAGCCTGAGCGTCAGTGCACTATTGGCTAGAGGAACTCAGGAGAGCCCATACAATAGCCTGAGCGTCAGTGCACTATTGGCTAGAGGAACTCAGGAGAGCCCATACAATAGCCTGAGCGTCAGTCTGGTTGTGCTATCATTCCAACTTGTCGCTCATTGCGATGCCGAACATGTTTGACTTGACAAGGACATCAATGGTGTAGGAAAGAGCAGAAACAGATCTGGGACCCTGAGTTTCCCATAAAGTACTTTGTGCTGTTTGTAATAATTTACACTTTAATCATTAAACTCTCAGACATGAACCATTCAAACCCTCTTCTTGGCTCTGGGACTTAAGAGACAACATTTGGGACTTCTTACAGCTGAGGTAGGCTACCAAGTACCAACCCCCGACCTCAGCCTGACCCTATTGTCCAGGCAGAGGGCACTTCACACCTCTGTGTTAGGGACCAGGTTGCCAGGGAACTCATCTGACTGGGACCAGCCAATCACAGGCCATAGCTGGTGGGGTTACAGTCCCCCACTTCTATCTGAACCGTTTGGTTGAATTCCGGAGTTCCGGTTGAGAACACCTCTGTAAACTCCTGGGGCTCCACACCAACTCACCAGCTAAACATTTCTCCACATGGACAATCCTCCACCATTGGACTTCCTAACCTTGTGTTAGTGCATAGATGACCATGTAAGTGGACATTGAGTGGCTTAGCGCTCATTTACAGACAGCGATGAGACCGCCTACAGGGAGGAGGTTGGAGCCCTGGCAGAGTGGAACACCTCTCCACTGCAGCCCCATCAATGTCAATAGGTCGTGAGCTGTAGTCGATGAACAGCATTCTCACAGGTGTCCAAGTGGGATAGGGCAGTGTTCAGAACACTGGCGATTGTGTCATCTGTGGATCTGTTGGGTCGGTATGCATATTCTAATGGGTCCAGGGTTTCAGGTAAGGTGGAGCTAATGTAGTCCTTGTCCAGCCTCTCAAAGCACTTCATGATGAAAGAAGTGCGTGCTACTGGTAGAGCGATAGTCATTTAGGCAGGTTACCTTTGTTTGCTCGGGTACAGGGACGATGGTGAACATCTTGAAGCATGTGGGGATGACAGACTGGGACAGTCTATTCTGGTAGTCCATACTGGTCAGGTTAGGATGTTTCATACAAGACCTGGGTTCAAATAGTACTTGATGTCTCTAAAATACTTGAAGCTGCATTTGATTGAGCTTGCCTAGTGCAATGGAATGGTCCCAAAAGTGCAAACCTTGCCTATCCGGTACTCCAGGCAGGCTCAATCAAACGGTTATTAACAAAGGGTATTTGAATCAAGATCTTCGGCCGTATGCATCAAGTGTCTCAGAGTAGGAGTGGTGATCTAGGATCTGGTGCCCCCTGTCCATGTAATCTTATTTTTTTGTGATCTAAAAGGCTAAACTGATCCTAAATCATCACTCCTTCTCTTAGAAGCTTGATACATTTACCCACTGTTTCATAAACTTGCTGCATCCCTGATCGCTTCCAACAACTACACTACAATCTGATGACATGTTCCTTCCCTCTGAGGCAGCCCATGGCTTTCCCCCAGTGAGCGGCTGCAGCGGTGCCTACGGGAGGGCCATTCCCTCACTTAGCAGCTGCAGCGGTGCCTATGGAAGGGCCATCTCTGACTTCTGTGTGACCAAGTTCACTGTGGACATGGAGGCCCTGGACCAGAGGCTGTGGTGCAGCTGGCCCGACACCTTTCAGTCAGTATAATCTATATTAGTCACCTCATCCTAAATAAAAAATAAAGTTGAGTTCAATTACATTTACTTGAATTATGTTCGCAATTGAAAAATGTAATCTTTGTTTGTCACTGTATTATTTGGCTGCCCTTGCAAATGATGCTCTACCAGTTTAGCAGATGCCCTTGTCTTTATAATATCTTTCCATCTGGAGAGCTTACCTATGTTTACATGTCTATCACCATCAGACACAGAGATACAGCGCCTTGCAAAAGTATTCATCCCCCTGGGCGTTTTTCCTATTTTGTTACAACCTGTAATTTACAACTTGTAATTTAAATGGATTTTTATTTGGATTTCATGTAATGGACATACGCAAAATAGTCCAAATTGGTGAAGTGAAATGAAAAAAATAACTTGATCAAAAAAATCAAAAAAATAAATAACGGAAAAGTGGTGCGTGCATATGTATTCACCCCCTTTGCTATGAAGCCACTAAATAAGATCTGGTGCAACCAATTACCTTCAGAAGTCACATAATTAGTTAAATAAAGTCCACCTGTGCGCAATCTAAGTGTCACATGATCTGTCACATGATGTCAGTATATATACACCTGTTCTGAAAGGCCCCAGAGTTTGCAACACCACTAAGCAAGGGGCACCACCAAGCAAGTGGCACCATGAAGAACAAGGAGCTCTCCAAACAGGTCAGGGACAAAGTTGTGGAGAAGTACAGATCAGGGTTGGGTTATGAAAAAATATCTGAAACTTTGAACATCCCACGGAGCACCATTAAATCCATTATTAAAAAATTGAAAGAATATGGCACCACAACAAACCTGCCAAGAGAGGGCCGCCCACCAAAACTCACGGACCAGGCAAGGAGAGCATTAATCAGAGAGGCAACAAAGAGACCAAAGATAACCCTGAAGGAGCTGCAAAGCTCCACAGCGGAGATTGGAGTATCTGTCCATAGGACCACTTTTAGCCGTACACTCCACAGAGCTGGGCTTTACGGAAGAGTGGCCAGAAAAAAGCCATTGCTTAAAGAAAAAAATAAGCAAACACGTTTGGTGTTCACCAAAAGCCATGTGGGAGACTCCCCAAACATATGGAAGAAGGTACTCTGGTCAGATGAGACTAAAATTGAGCTTTTTGGCCATCAAGGAAAACGCTATGTCTGGCGTAAACCCAACACCTCTCTTCACCCCGAGAACACCATCCCCACAGTGAAGCATGGTGGTGGCAGCATCATGCTGTGGGGATGTTTTTCATCGGCAGGGACTGGGAAACTGGTCAGAATTGAAGGAATGATGGATGGCGCTAAATGCAGGGAAATTCTTGAGGGAAACCTGTTTCAGTCTTCCAGAGATTTGAGACTGGGACGGAGATTCACCTTCCAGCAGGACAATGACCCTAAGCATACTGCTAAAGCAACACTCGAGTGGTGTAAGGGGAAACATTTAAATGTCTTGGAATGGCCTAGTCAAAGCCCAGACCTCAATCCAATTGAGAATCTGTGGTATGACTTAAAGATTGCTGTACACCAGGGGAACCCATCCAACTTGAAGGAGCTGGAGCAGTTTTGCCTTGAAGAATGGGCAATAATCCCAGTGGCTAGATGTGCCAAGCTTATAGAGACATACCCCAAGAGACTTGCAGCTGTAATTGCTTCAAAAGGTGGCTCTACAAAACATTGACTTTGTGGGGGTGAATAGTTATGCACGCTCAAGTTTTCTGTTTTTTTGGTCTTATTTCTTGTTTGTTTCACAATACAAATTATTTTGCATCTTCAAAGTGGTAGGCATGTTGTGTAAATGAAATGATACAAACCCCCCAAAAATCCATTTTAATTCCACGTTGTAAAATAGGAAAAATGCCAAGGGGGTGAAAACTTTTGCAAGCCACTGTAGAAGGATTCCTCATAGGAATGTTCCTGTGATGTGCAAGGAATGTTTCCAAGAGACCATTCCCTTAATGTGAAATCGAATTGACCCAGAACGAGGTTACCATGTTGTCAGAACTTAAGATATTCATGTTTTAGACACGTTTCATGGGAACGTGGCAAAAACATTAATGTGTCCAGTTTTTTTAGGGTTAGGAGACTATTCCACCAACATTCCACCAAACATACACAGAACGAGGTTACCATGTTCTCAGAACATAAGATATTCATGTTTTAGACACGTTTCATGGGAACGTTGCAAGAACATGCGTCCCAAAAAAAGGCCTTACTGTTGCAAAGCCAATCAAGGCCCTGATTGGTGAACCACTGATCCGTTCAGAGGTCTTTGTCTGTTGGCAAAGTTAAGGATACTCACACATACAGTGGTTTTAACATACAATGTATTCAACTTACATATCTGACACACTTTGACATACATGATTACATTGTGCATGTTCATTTATACAGTAATTATTATTCAACATGTCCTCAACTGGGATTTGAACTCACAACCTTTTGGTTCACAGTACTTGGATCTTCCTGCTATACCACCATATATCAGTTAATCTGACTATTCTTTTATTATTGATTTTATTTACTTATTTCAGCAATTTAAGGACTTTCTGTATAGTTATCTAATGTTGGTGGGGCATATCAAGTTTGAGTGTACTTTTAACAGAGCTGAGATTTACTTCAAAGTACATTCACCCTATTGCTTACACCTATCAAGTTGTTTCAGAGCTACACAAGTGCCTAGGGAGGAGGGGTTAGTCTTTCTTCTGGACAGGGCCTAACTATACTGGCCCAATAAGTACATGCAAGAACATTCCTGTGTCCAGTTTTCTGAGGCTATAATTAAAACAGTTTCATATCCCCCTCCAACATTAGACAACTATCAAATCAATGATGAGAGAATAGTCAAATTAACTGATAACTGACATAGACATGGTGGTGTAGCAGCCAGATCTGAATGTCGTGAACCATGATGTTGTGCGTTCAAATCAAAGGTGAGAACAATGTAATCATGTATGTCCAAGTGTGTCAAATATGTAAGTTGAAAACACTATGCTAGGAGCACTGTGTGTGTCTAAACTTGCCATCACAGACAGCTGTGAATGGATCTGTGGTTCACCAATCAGGGCCTTGATGGGCAATAGTAACAAGGTGTGACATGTAATTAACCTTTTTTTCTTTTGGGAGAACGTTTTTTTGGGACCATCAGGCGATGTCCTGACAACTGATATACAGAAATGTTCTTGCAGCGTTCCCATGAAACATGTCTAGAACATTAATATCTTACATTCTGAGAACATGGCAACCATATTCTGTGGATGTTTGGTGGGACGTTGATAGAATATTCTCCTAACCCTCCGAAAACTGGACACAGGAATGTTCTTGCAACGTTCTCATGAAACGTGTCTAGAACATTAATGTTATATATTCTGAAAATATTGTAACCATGTTCTAGATAAGTTCTGCTTGAAATTAAGGGAATGTTCTCCTAACGTTATCACCAAAACATGCTAAAAATGATTTTGTTAACATAGATAGAATTTCCCCCTGACTAACGGAAAGCTGGACACTCAAACATTAGGAGAACATTATGGGTAACATTACAACATTTTTTATTTCTCTCTCCCTAGAATTGTTAGCTGGGTAGAAAGGGAAGAAGAGAGAGTGAAGGAGGAGAGGGAGGGAGGAGGAGGGAGGGACGGGAGGGGAGAGGGAGCAGGGGCATGGGGAGGGAGGGACGAGAGAGAAGAGGGAGCGGGGAGGGAGGAGAGAGGAGGAAGAGGGGACGAGGGAGGGCAGGGAGAGAAGGTGTGGCGGGGAGGACGGAGCAGGGGGAGGGGAGGAGAGAGGGGAGCAGGGGGCGCAGAGGGAGGGGAGGGGAGGGAGGGCGTGGAGAGGCGGGAAGACGCGAGAAGGGGCGAGGGGAGGGATGGAGGAGAGGAAGGGGGAGGGGGGCGGGAGCAGGGAGGGAGGGGAGAGCGGAGAAGAGAAGGGGCGTAGGAGTGGGAGGGAGGCGAGAGAGAGGGGAGGGCAGGCTGGGAGAGGGACGGGGAGAGGGAGGGGAGAGAGAGGAAGGGGGGAGGGGGAGGCGAGGGACGGAGGAGAACGGGGAAGGGAGGAGGGAGGGAGAGGGGAAGGGCGGGGAGGGGAGAGGAGAGAAGGGGAAGGAGGGGGGGAGGGGGAGAGAAAGGGGGACAGGGAGGGGGGGGACCAAAAAGGAAGGGGGGAAAGGGGGGGGAGGAGAGAGGAGGAGAAGGGGGGGAAAGGGAGGGAGGGGAGAGAGGGGGGAGGGGAAGGGGGGGAAAGGAGAAGAGGGGGAGAGGGGGGGAGGGAGAGAGGAAAAGGGGAAGGGGGGAGGGGGAAGGGGAGGGAGAGAGAGAAGGGGGGAGGGAAGGAGGGAGGATAGAGGGGGGAGAGGGGGGGGGAGGGAAGGGAGAAGGGGGAGAGGGAGGGAGGGGAGGGGGGGAGGGAGGAAGAGAGGGGGAGGGGGAGGGGGGGAGGGAGGGAGGGAGAGAAGAGAAGGGGAGGGAGGGAGGGAAGAGAGGGGAAGGAGGGAGAGGGGGGGAGGGAGAGAGAGGGGAGAGAGAGGGGAGAGGGGGGGGGGGAGGGGGGAGGAGAGAGAAGAGAAAGGGGAGGGGGGAGGGGGGGGGAGAGGGAGAGGGAAGGAGGGAGGGAGGGAGGGGGGGGGGAAAAGGAGAGAAGGAGAGGGAGGAAGGGAGAGAGAGAAGGAGGGAGAGGGAGGGAGGGAGGGAGAGAGAGAAGGAGGGAGAGGGAGGGAGGGAGAGAGAGATTTAATGAGCAGGTCAAATCTGTTTTGCGTGTGGAAAGAACAAGCGGAGTGGAAGAGGAAGAGAGAGATTGAGAAAGAGACAGAACTTTGCATAAACAAATATTTTCCCAACCAGCCCCTCTGGTCTTGGCTTTGGGTTTAGGGCACACATTGATGTTGTGCAAGGTGACACCAGTACACAGGTTCTGGGTGGCTGTCTACCATGGGGACACAGGGTTATACAGTGTGTGTGTGTTCAATATGAGCACGGCCAGCTCAGGACCACATGCCCTATTAGAAGTTGAACAGTAGCCACCTTTGGGGTTTCCAGTGTCAAAGAGAGTTGGAAATTACACTGAATTCATGTATGCTCTTCTAGAACAAAGTTTCCAATTAAGAATACATTTAGAAAAAACACTGCCAAGGCTTTATGCTATGAGTCATTCATTTAATCAACTTTATTCAGTCAAAACACCTCTGATATTATCAGGAAACCAAAGGCACTCCAGTGTGTCTTAGCTCTAATTATAGTCATGCTGGTCTGTAGCTCCCCTGGTATGATATTGGGAGTTCCAGTGCTGGTATGACTCCTCTCTAACCCCCTACCACCTAGCTATGGTAGTTATATTTAGCTGTATGGTATGATCCTCCCTAACCCCCTACCACCTAGCTATGGTAGTTATATTTAGCTGTATGGTATGTTCCCTCTCTAACCCCCTACCACCTAGCTATGGTAGTTATATTTAGCTGTATGGTATGACTCCTCTCTAACCCACTACCACCTAGCTATGGTAGTTATATTTAGCTGTATGGTATGACTCCTCTCTAACCCCCTACCACCTAGCTATGGTAGTTATATTTAGCTGTATGGTATGTCTCCTCTCTAACCCACTACCACCTAGCTATGGTAGTTATATTTAGCTGTATGGTATGTCCCCTCTCTAACCCCCTACCACCTAGCTATGGTAGTTATTGCGGGTTGACTCCCTTAACCCCCTACCCCCTAGCTTGGTAGTTTAAATTTTGCTGATGGATGTCCTTCTCAACCCATACCACCTAGTATGGTGTTTTAAATTTTGCGTATGGAGACTCCTCTCAACCCCCTACACCTGCTATGGTAGTTTTTATTTAGTGTATGGATGCCCTCCTAACCCCCCACCACCAGCTTGGTTTATATTAGTGAGGTAGTCCTTCCTTTAACCCCTACCACCTAGCTATGGTAGTTATATTTAGCGTTTTGGTTGTTCCCCCTTTAACCCACTACCCCCTACATGGTAGTTATTTAGCTGTATGGTATGTCCTCTCTAACCCCCTCCACCCAGTTGGAGTATATTTAGCGAGGTTGTTCCTCTTAACCCACACCCCCAGCTATGGTAGTTTATTTTTGTGTATGGGATGTTCCCTTCTAACCCCTACATAGCATGGTAGTTAATTTAGCGTATGGTATGTTCCCCTCTAACCCATACCCACCTAGCTATGGGTAGTTTATTTAGCTGTATGGTATGTTCCCTCCCTAACCCCTACCACCTAGCTATGGTAGTTATATTAGCTGTATGGTATGTCTCCTCTCTAACCCCCTACCACCTAGCTATGGTAGTTATATTTAGCTGTATGGTATGACTCCTCTCTAACCCCCTACCACCTAGCTATGGTAGTTATATTTAGCTGTATGGTATGACTCCTCTCTAACCCCCTACCACCTAGCTATGGTAGTTATATTTAGCTGTATGGTATGTCCTCTCTCTAACCCACTACCACCTAGCTATGGTAGTTATATTTAGCTGTATGGTATGTTCCCTCCCTAACCCCCTACCACCTAGCTATGGTAGTTATATTTAGCTGTATGGTATGACTCCTCTCTAACCCCTACCACCTAGCTATGGTAGTTATATTTAGCTGTATGGTATGACTCCTCTCTAACCCCACTACCACCTAGCTATGGTAGTTATGCCCACCAGTAATTCAAGCTGTTAGTTTGCCTTTTCCCACTCCGTCAGTTGGAGACCACAAGTGAAACAGATCTGTTTTCAAAGAGACACTTTTCAGACATCTGGCCTGTTTTGTGGAATGGCTATTTTGATGCCAATTAATATAGACCCCCCCCCCCCCCCCCCCCCCCCCCCCCCCCCCCCCAATAATAAATATATTAAATAAACTAACATATTTAAAAGTTAGAGTCAGTTTTCTCATGCTGCCCCCTAGTTTCAGTGTTTTATCTCCCCCTGCAGGCCTTACGAGGAACTGACCAACTGCACATTTTTCGTGGCCCTCAAGATGCACTGCTTCTGGCCCAACCGGCTGATAGACGAACTCTTCATCCGCCTCCACCGGGACTACTTTCATGACTGCGCTCTGACCGGCAGGCTGCTTCGCGACCCTCCTATAAGTATCCTGGGGACTTTCATTGGAGTGCCTGTGCTGGTCACTCTGCTCATGACTGCCCTAGTAGTGTGGAGGGGTAAACGCTGTCAGGGAATCGTGTAACTGTCTCATCCTGCCAAAATTCTAACCTGAACCATTAGCGGAGGAAACGCAAAACTGACCCGAGTCCAGCTTCTAGGGATCAACCTGAGCTCTTGGAGATGTTTGTTTGATAACATAGACATGATGGAGGGGACACTGAACTGGGACAAATGACAAGCAGAGATACCCAACAGCATACTAAGACTGTGATCTCTCTGTGATGTTTGTTATTTGATGGACACTGGTAGTATGGGTGAAGGACCTTTCAGAAGCCTACTTCTGAAACAAAGCAAAGGCTATTTAAGCTTGTACTGTGGCTCATCAATAGCTCTAGAACTTCCAATTGAAAACATGCATTGTATTGTTGTAAACCACAAATTGGCCAACCAAGAGAGGGCTAATGTGGGGTAGGGCAGGGAGTACAGTATTGGTAGAGTGTATGACCTTCTATGTCAAAATCAATGCAACGACATCTATAATGTAGCTTTGGGCATATTGGACACCAGCCAAAGTATTTACATGAACTGATTGGATGTATATAAAGTGTTTCACAGAAAAGGCTTTATTTGATTTAGATCTCCATGCCCAGTAGCCACGCCCTTTAATAAAAAACAAACATTAATATACTTTATCAGAATATGTTGTCTTATATTCTACCATTTTAAATGTAAAATGCTTCATTTCACAACTGAACACATCTTAACTTGGTATCTGGCACTGTAAACAAACGCTTCCTAGCATCAAGGAAGGGATGAGAGGACGAGCTATCAGCTAGGGAGGAGACTAGTTAGCTAGCTAAATTAGCTTGACGCCGGGGTTTCCAACTAGATAGCACATCCACAAAGTCAAAATTGGCTATATCGTAAAAATTAATGAAAACAAAATTGGTGTTAATGTAAGGTTAGGCATAAGGTTAGCACTGGGGTTAAGGTTAGGTTTAAAATCTAATTTTAAGAAGAGAAAGTGTAGAGATAGGTGGGGGTTATGACTTTTTGACTGTAGTAACTAGTGACGACCGATTGACGGGGATTCCAACCAAAAAGTGTTGCCTTGTGTCTCCAGATGTCTTGTAGCCGGGTATTCCACACCAGCTGCCTTGCGCTTATGGTACAGCTGCTCTGTCTGGAGGCAGTGCCCATCAGTGTGGACAAGACCAAGGTGAACCAGCCGTAGGACAAAGCCTCAGAGCCGCCACCAAGTGTGGACACTGGACTCCACTATGACCGTTATTTCAGGGAAGTCATTGATTTTCTGGAAAAATACCAGCATTTCAGAGAGAAGCTCCATAACACAGATATGGAGGACATCAAGATGGGGAAGCTGGCCAAAGAGCTGGACTTTGTCAGCCACCATGTAAGGACACAACTGGACGAGCTAAAAAGGCAGGAGGTTAGCCGGCTACGGACACTGATCAAAGCCAAGCAAGACATCGAAGGAGGGAACGATATGGCAGTAGACCACCAAGCTCTGCTGAAACAGTTTGAGTACCTGAACCACATGAATCCTCACACCTTTGAAGTGGAGGATCTGGACAGACTCATCAAATCAGCCACAAACGATCTGGAGAACTATGACAAGGAGCGCCATGAGGAGTTCAAGAAGTACGAGATGATGAAAGACCATGAGCGAAGCGAACACCTCAAGACTCTAGATGATGAAGGGAGGAAGAAGGAGGAAGAACATTACGAGGAGATGAAGAAGAAACATGCAGACCATCCCAAAGTCAACCATCCAGGCAGCCAGAATCAGTTCAAAGAGTTGTGGGAGGAAGCAGATGGTCTTGACCCTGAAGATTTTGACCCCAATACCTTTTTCAAGCTGCATGGTTCCAATGGAGATGGCTTCTTCGATGAGCAGGAATTGGAGGCGTTGTTTACAAAGGAGCTGGAGAAGATCTATGATCCTACCAATGAAGAGGACGATATGGTGGAGATGGAGGAGGAGCGCCTGCGTATGAGAGAGCACGTCATGAACGAGGTGGACACCAACAACGACAGACTGGTCTCCTTAGAAGAGTTCCTGATTGCCACAAAGAAAAAGGAATTCCTGGAACCAGATAGTTGGGAGACCCTAGAGCAGAACCATGCCTACACAGAGGAGGAGATGAGGTAGTTTGAGGAGCGCCTGGCCCAGCAGGAAGAGGACCTCAACCAGAAAGCATCAGAACTCCAGAAACAGAGGGATGAGTTGGAGAGGCAGCAGGAACAGCTCAACACACAGAAAGTAGAGCTTCAGCAGGCAGTAGAACACATGGAACGGTTGAAAACCCAGAAAGTTGAGCCCCCTCCAGAGGTTCATGTGGTAGGGAATGCTATCCCAGAGCCACAAGGAGAAAACCATCCTTTGCCCCCGGGCCACCAAGATATGTCCCAAAACCACCCGGGTATGAAGCAAGACAACCACCTCCAGAACCAAATACCCCACAACATCCAGGATTTGTCCCAACCACGTCTCCAGGATCTGCCACCAGGCCATCAGGCAGTGCCATAGGGCCAACATGACTTACCATAAGGCCCCCATCAGAACCAGTTTACTCAACCCCAGCTGCCAGATAAAACTCTATAGACAACACCGCTGGCTCCATGGCCCCCCACCCACAGCCCTTTACAGTACTTATATACCTCCAGTCCAGTGTGCAGAGATCCCGTCATATGGGCATGTGTGGCCCCTGTTATCCTGAAAGAGTTAACTGAAAACCAGCTGGAGAACACAGGAGGCGTTTACAGTATCCCTGCCCACTTGTGGATTTCAATTCGAGCCTTCAAGGCCTAGAAATGTTTTATACATACACAGAGTGCATATGCGGTATGTGTATGTGATGTATGGATTGGTCATAGGCCTCCTGTAGCTCAGTTGGTAGAGCATGGCGCTTGCAACGGCAGGGTTGTGGGTTCGATTCCCACGGGGGGCCGGTATGAAAAATGTATGCACTCACTAACTGTAAGTCTCTCTGGATAAGAGCGTCTGCTAAATGACTAAAATGTAACATGTAATTACATAGCCATTACCATTGCATGTACTGTCCCTACAGATAAATGTATCTGATTATGTATTCATTATTATCTATTAATTTGCATACTAGACAGAGAAAAAGAGAAAAAAAATACTAAAATGAAAAAAGTGAAATAAAAATATCATTTTTGATATCCATTTGTTTTGATATCAATATGATATTAATTTGATATCCAAACATGAATGAGAACAGAACTTAACTGGCTGCCTGACCAACTCCCTCCCACCTGAGGAGTGTAGACCATCAATCTAGTACCATAACTATCAGATTCAGTACTCCAACGTCACACATCCCAATAGACACACCTGTGTAGAGGAGGATCAAAAATACTTTACAATATGAACCAGTGGAGGCTGCTGAGGGGAGGTACGGCTCATAGTAATGGCCGGAACGGAGCGAATGGAATGGCATCAAATACTTGGAAACCATGTTTTTGATGTATTTGATACCATTCCACTGATTCCGCTCCAGTCGTTACCACAAACCCATTCTCCCCAATTAAGGTGACACCAGCCTCCTCTGATATGAACCATTCAAAAACACCAGCTATTCTCATACTGTTTGGTGGGCAGAATGAGAAGGCACACACACACACACACACGCACACACACACACACTCTTACACACATTTTCCTTGTTTTAATTTTAGGTACACAAAGGCAGTGAATGAGTCAGCACACCAGCGGGCCCTGGGTCTCACTGAAGGAGAATGGAAGAAATTAAATGATTAAGTTAAAGGCCGCTTTGATTGACAGCTCACCTTAACACAAGTGGCAGAATATAGTCCCAAGGCCGGCTCGCCAAAGCAATGGGGTTATTAATCTCAATGTGATTGCAGTAAATGGACATGAATTGAAGCCTGGGCCCAGAGCAATAGCAATATGGCCACTGTCAGCTCCCTGTAGAGAAGGTGTGATCTATCCTGTACCCAGCTGAACTGTTCACGTGGTGTGTGTGTGTGTGTGTGTGTGTGTGTGTGTGTGTGTGTGTGTGTGAAACAGGCCAGATGACATGGCTGGATGGGTTTAATAAGTGAAACCTCACAGTAACATCTCACCTACAGTGATATAGCCTAAAGGAGTATGTAGCGACCACAGGAGGCTGGTGACACCTTAATTGGGGAGAACGGGTTTGTGGTAATGACTGGAGCGGAATCAGTGGAATGGTATCAAATACATCAAACACATGGTTTCCTTGTGTTTGATACCATTCCATTTGCTCTGTTCCAGACATTATGAGCCGTTCAAATCAAATCTTATTGGTCACATGCGCCGAATACAACAGGTGCAGACATTACAGTGAAATGCTTACTTACAGCCCTTAACCAACAGTGCATTTATTTTTTAACAAAAAAAGTAAAAATAAAACAACAACAAAAAAAGTGTTGAGAAAAAAAAGATGTAGCCTAAAGGACTATATAGCCTAAAATAGCCTAATAACACCTTACAAACACGGTCACCTATTGAGACGAATCTAATAGAGTGGTAAGTGATTGTAATGAGTTATAGGAATGCAATCAGAAAACATTAGCCAGTGAGTTTGCCATGTTTCATTGAATCCAGGAAGATGGTACGGTAGACATCTGACATTACATCTGAAGAGGAGGCACAGAACTGATATAAAGGACCTGGGGGGTATTCAATAGGAACCAAAAAGAAGCAAACAGGCCCAAACGGGGAGGGAATAACCTGAACTCCAATAAGAAAGGCTCATTTACTAAAGGTTTTGCTACAGTGTGCACTAATGAATACAACCCTGTAGTCTCAGGGAAGCTACTTCAGAGAAGGCTTGTTGAGCGTTCCCATGTTGAGGCCGGGAGTCAGAGTTTAGTGGGTCAGGTATACCCAGGTCACTATGAGTTGTGGCAATGAGTTGGGGCTATGAGGTGGGGTTATGAGGTGGGTCTATGAGGTGGGTCTATGAGTTGGGGCTATGAGTTGGAGCTATGAGTTGGGACTATGAGTTGGGACTATGAGTTGGGACTATGAGTTGAAGCTATGAGTTGGGTCTATGAGTTGGAGTTATGAGTTGGGACTATGAGTTGGGGCTATGAGGTGGGGCTATGAGTTGGGGCTATGAGTTGGAGCTATGAGTTGGGACTATGAGTTGGGACTATGAGTTGGAGCTATGAGTTGGGACTATGAGTTGCAGCTATGAGTTGGGACTATGAGTTGGGGCTATGAGTTGGGTCTATGAGTTGGGACTATGAGTTGGGTCTATGAGTTGGGACTATGAGGTGGGGCTATGAGTTGGGGCTATGAGGTGGGGCTATGAGTTGGGGCTATGAGTTGGGGCTATGAGTTGGGATTATGAGTTGGGTCTATGATGTGGGGCTATGACGTGGGGCTATGAGTTGGGTCTATGAGTTGCAGCTATGAGTTGGGGCTATGAGTTGGGTCTATGAGTTGGGGCTATGAGTTGGGGCTATGAGTTGGGACTATGAGTTGGGACTATGAGTTGGGGCTATGAGTTGGGTCTATGAGGTGGGGCTATGAGTTGGGGCTATGAGTTGGGTCTATGAGGTGGGGCTATAAGTTGGGTCTATGAGGTGGGGCTATGAGGTGGGGCTATGAGGTGGGTAATGAGGTGGGGTAGGGAAAGTATTACTTTATTCTGCCACTAGGGGCACCATGTGGCATTTCAGATGGTAAGACCTCACCACTGTCAGAGACTTGACTCCTGCCAGGCAGGTTCTCAATCATATTCCTCTGCCACACACATGCACGCACGCACACCAGCCTTAACACTCAGAGGGACACCGAGGGAGCGCGTGTAAGCTCATTCGTAAGAGGTTGGAGACATCAGACTCCCTCCACTGTTCAGAAAGCAATCCACTGTAATTACCAGTTACAGTTACTATTACAGTAAACCAGAGAAGACTATTGTATTTTAACAAGCTATTTCTTTATAAAACAAGAAATTATTGAGTTCATCGGGTATCCAGACTATTCTGAAACATCTTCTTTAGGTGATATTGGAGTTCATGTGGGTACACTTTTCATTTTGACTTTATTGATGGGCTAATGATTTAAGTTGAATGTAATATGTGGTCTTATTTGTTGGAATGTTATTATTTAAAAAAAAGTATTATTCTTTACCATTGAACGCAACACAAAACATCAAGTGAAGACACGGGTCTGTGGGTATTGCTGCTTCGTTGCCCCAGAACAGGCTGCTGCAGGTTTGCAAGCCAGCCAGTAGAAATACTTGACCACCACTGTGATCTCTGTTTCTGGACTCGACTCCCCCATCACAGACAGCAACCTAGGACAGAAGAGGAGGAGTGGAACAGAGTGAGTGATAGTCAAAGAAGATGGTCATCAGGTCACTAAGTCTTTCTTAGAGATGAGAAATTCAACTCGGGGCTCAATTTAAACCAACCCGCACTGCAGTATTTATGGAATTTTGTAAAAAATAATAATAATAGATAGTTGCTTCCAGTGTTCATAATTGTGATAGAAGTGTGCAGACAGTAGTTTTCAAAAATGGAGTAAACATTGCTAAAGGCACGTTCAATTTAATTGACCCACTACATTTTTAGCACATGAATGCTGAAGCTCACCTGTTCCTGAACTCCTGGGATAACCTGTGGGCTTCCACTGGATCCTGCTTCAGCAAGGCCCGAAAGCTAGAGAAGGTCTCCACCATGCCAATGTAGCCATTCAGAGGCATTGGTCTCCTCACCCGCAGACACTCATGCCTGGAGAGAGCAATGCAAAAACACTGAACACCAGCAGAATACTATTTTATGCTAAGCTAGGCAAGGCCAGGCTAAGCTAGGCTATTCTACACTAGGCTAAGCGATGTTATTCTATGATACTCTAGGCCAGGCTATGATACTCTAGGCTAGGCTATGCTAGCCTATGCTAGTATACTATTATAGTTACAGTAGATACAGAGCCGGCAAGATATAGCAGTCTTTGGGTACCTTGGCTTTTCAGCAGCACTCACCACTCTTTGTCTGGGTACGGGCATGAGTCATACATCTGTTTGTAGAGAGGGACAGTGGTAGTACCTAAGTGAGCACTGCGAAATGGCAGCAGGATCTTGTAGAACTGAAGGGGGACATGAATAAGGTAGTATTACGTTCCCGTTGTTTTCATACTCTGAAGCCACAAAGTTTGCACACTTCATAGAAGGCCAGATCCCAGTGTACATTGAACTCAGAGAGTGTTACATTTAACACTGTCACAGAGTACATATGAGTCCCAATTGTTAATTTAACACTGAGATAGTGGGACTTCTATACATAGTCAGTTGGTCAGTTGATTGTCTGTAATGTTGTCTCCTGCTGGAGCAGCCTACTACTTTTAATTATCTTATAAATTCAATCAATTGCTCAGTGGTTTGGTATCTGACCTGTTGACAGATGTCAGTAAGAGTGTGGGAGTGTTGTCCGTACTCCAGGTCCATGTCCAGGGTATAACTGATCAGAGCCAGACACCCTCTCGGCCTCAGCAGCCTGTCTGCCTCCTGGAGGAACCGTGGACGGTTGAACCAGTGGGCCGCGGTCATGGACGTCACCAAGTCAGCCCCGCCGTCAGCAAACGGTAGCTCCTCTGCAGGACACTGCCTGTGGGGTTATGGGAGATGTGACGATAATGGAACCACACTGGTTAAATGGTTACACATTTTGGACGTTTAATTGGTGATATTTGGACCTCAAAGTGTCTGAGTTAGTTATGTTGCTAGTTAAAACTACAGGGATGTTTCAATGATAATTACACCTAAATAAGAAGAAGGAATGAATGAATACTTTATTGTCCAATAGACACTGTTGTCTGTCAACAGTACCAACATTCCTGACAGACATATAATACATAAAAAACATTTCACGGTATGAGCTTGGACTTGACCTTGAACCTTGCTATGACAACAAAGCAAGTCCCGTCCACTATCCTGCATGCACCTCCCACTTCTCACCTGTAGGAGATATTTGGGGCGCTGCTATTGGCCAGAGCCACCTCCAGCTGGGCGGGGCTGATGTCTGTCCCGACCACATGGGTAAAGTGAGGGGCCAGTAGAACTGTCCCCTGTCCCGAGCCACAGCCTACGTCCACGGCAAGGTCAAACGGCCTTCCTTTCTGAAGTGATAATAACATCAGAAGTCAGTGTTATATCAATGTTATATCAGCGTTATATCAGTGTTATTTCAGTGTTATATCAGCGTTATATCAGTGTTATACAGTTTTATAGACTTTCTTCATCTGTCAATAAACAAATTACAGTATTAAATCCAGGTAGGTGGCATTATAGTAGCCAAGCACATATGATTAGATAGTTTTGGGCTTACACAAGCAAAATGTTCACAAAAATCATTGTTGCAGGGCAAGGGTCTAGGGGCTAACTACATTCCATGCACGCACACAAACACACACACACACACACACACACACATACACACACACACACACACACGCAGGCCCCTACCATTTTCTCAAGAAATCCCAGTATCTCTGTGATCAGTTCCTGTGGGGGGGACACCCTGTACTTCAGGTAGGAGGCGGCATGCTCTTTGCCCTCGTAGCGGCGGTGAGCCATGTTACCGTGCTGTTGCCGTGCTGAGTCAGAATGAGAGAGAGAGCTCTGAGGACACTGACTACCTCTGCTCTCTGCTCTGACACTAGCATCAGACACAGAGGTTGTTTATTAACCACCAGGACTACGTCCCAAATTATCTCTCCTTCCTCCCAAAGTGTGCACTTGTTCACTTCCCTTCACTGATTTGAAAGTAAGTATAACTGGTATAACAAATATGTTGGAAACTCCCTCAAGGCCATGTCTCCACCTATACAATGCGTTTAGATCTGTGGTAGTGAACGAGTGCAGTGAACGAGTGTACACTTCAGGAGAAAGAAGGTACCCCCCAATTCAATAAATTGCAGACAAAGGAAACCACACTATTTTGCTGCTCTTCATACGGAGGACAGAAGGGGTCAGTATTAGACAGAGTATGCCCTGTAGGAGCTGGGGCTGGGGCTGGGGACAGAGACAGAGACAGAGACTGAGACTGAGACTGAGACAGAGACAGAGACAGAGACAGAGACAGAGACAGAGACAGAGAACAGAGACCGAGACAGAAACAGAGAGAGAGAGAGAGAGAGCAGAGACAGAGACAGAGACAGACACAGAGACAGAGAGACAGAGAGAGAGAGAGAGAGAGAGAGAGCAGAGACAGAGACAGACACAGAGAGAGAGAGAGAGAGAGAGAGAGAACAGAGACAGAGAGCAGGGACAGAGACAGAGAGAGAGAGAGAGAGAGAGAGAGAGAGAGAGAGAGAGAGAACAGAGACAGAGAGACAGAGAACGAGACAGACGGCAGAGACAGGGACAGAGACAGACGACAGAGACAGAGACAGGGACAGAGACAGAGACAGAGACAGAGATAGAGACAGGGGACAGAGACAGGGGACAGAGAGCAAGAGAGAGAGAGAGAGAGAGAGAGAGAGAGAGAGAGAGAGAGAGAGAGAGAGAGAGAAAGAGAGAGAGAGAGAACAGAGACAGAGAGACAGAGAACGAGACAGACAGCAGAGACAGGGACAGAGGCAAAGACAGAGACAGAGACAGGGGACAGAGACAGAGACAGAGACAGAACGAGACAGACGACAGAGACAGGGACAGAGACAGAGACAGAGACAGACGACAGAGACAGACGACAGAGACAGAGACAGAGACAGGGACAGGGACAGAGACAGAGACAGAAACAGAGAGAGAGAGAGAGAGAGAGAGAGAGAGAGAGAGAACAGGGACAGGGACAGAGACAGAGACAGGGACAGGGACAGAGAGAGACAGAGACAGAGACAGAGACAGAGGACAGAGACAGAGAACAGGGACAGAGACAGAGACAGAGAGAGAGATAGAGAATGAGACAGAGACAGAGACAGAGACAGGGACAGGGACAGGGACATAGATATAGAGCAGTCAGCTTGGAGAATGGTGTTACACCACAATAGGTGCACATGAGATCAACAGCCTTCACAGATTCAATCCAGTCATATACTGTCCTAAATACTTCTTACATGGTCTGTCCTTTCTGGCTTGATGTTCACAGTATATGGTGAGAGAGAGGTAGAAATGTTACATGAATGAGTCTTCTCATTGAGAGTGATGATCCAGTGAAATAGACAACAGATACTATTCCTCATTCTTGCATGGAGAAGAAGGAGGAGGGTATATATATATTTTTTTTACTGCAACATCCGATTACCTGACAGATGTCTCTGGTCAGAGTTGGTCAGGGTGGTGGTGGTTGGGAGTGGAGAGAGAGTTGGTCAGGGTGGTGGTGGTTGGTAGTGGAGAGAGAGTTGTTCATGGTGGTGGTGTTTGGTAGTGGAGAGAGAGTTGTTCAGGGTGGTGGTGGTTGGGGTTGGGGTTGGTCGGAGGGTCTGTGGTCACTGGTTCACCACAACATAAACTTGCAGGCTAATCTTGAACTTCTTAGAAGTACTTTTCTATAGTAAAGTGCCATGAGAAACAGGAGAACCTAACCCCCTCTCCTGCATGCATGTGTGCGCGTGCATGTGTGTTTGTGCGTTCATGTGTGTGTGTGTGTGTGTGTGTGTATGTGTGTGTGTGTCTGTGTGTGTGTGATGCCATGACCTTTCCCTTTAACCTGGTAAGTGACCTTGTTATCCTCCCAGGTTTAATTACCAACGGTAGAATGGTAATCAGAGAGGAATTAGAGTGTCTGTGGTCGGGGGGGGGCGGGGGGCAGTGACCAGTGGGAGTCAAATGGGACCGGGACACACACTTGCATGCTCACATACAAACACACGTGTGCGCACATATACACACACACTCAAGAACTAGCACACACACACACACACACACACACACACACACACACAATGCACATGCATGTTTTTGTTGTTGTTTTTCTTACTTCCCTTTCAACCTAGTTCTGATAGTTCAACATCAGATCTAGATATGGCACAAAAGTGTTTTTGGACCAACATGGATCTACAGAACTATAACCAGAACCTCAGAACAGATATTCAAATAGAAGAGGCTCATTTTCACAAGAGTTCCTCTTTAACGCGCCACATACTGCTTGGAATTAAGTAAGGAACTGATTATGTATTGATTCCAATCTATTTATTCAGGAGGGGGGAAAAGCAACTCCTACCTACCCTCAGGAAAAGGTAGGAGCAAGGTGTTACTCACAAACCATATGTAATTAGTGGGTTATTATGTAGGCCTAGACAGAAATATGTTTTCCAAAACCATAGAGCCTGTCCGTTCTCCTTTAGGTCATATCGAAATATTCATGTCCATACAATACAATGCAAAGTGTTTTCAACATCTGGAATTACACTGTTTAAATCCATTATATTTTCATTGTTTGTTTTACATCTCGAAGAGAGGGCTACAAAACAGAGAACCAAATTCCCACATATACTGGCTCATATGTTTACCTTCACACTGTAGGAAGCCAGTTTGGTAATAGGCATTCAAACTCAACAGAATAGACTTTAGTGTTTTACCATTCATTTGGCATTAAAAATACACTAAATACCATTAAATAACATGAAATACCATGAAATACCACTAAATACCACTAAATAGCATTAAATACCATTAAATAGAGTTGATCTTTTCACCCGGTGCTTTTACACATTCCTTTCCCTCCTCCCTCGTCCACTGCAGGTTGCCATGACGATTGCCGGTAGTCACAGCAACAGTGGGGACAGTCTGTTCTGTGAGGCGAGATGGAGAGAGCTTCTCTGAGAACTCCTGGTACAGGTAGTCTACCACTCAACGGGCCTCACAGGAAAGATAACCAACACAGACCATGGGTAGATATGTCTACCACTCAACGGGCCTCACAGGAAAGATAACCAACACAGACCATGGGTAGATATGTCTACCACTCAACGGGCCTCACAGGAAAGATAACCAACACAGACCATGGGTAGATATGTCTACCACTCAACAGGCCTCACAGGAAAGATAACCAACACAGACCATGGGTAGATATGTCAACCCTTTAACAGGCCTCACAGGAAAGATAACCAACACAGACCATGGGTAGATATGTCAACCCTTTAACAGGCCTCACAGGAAAGATAACCAACACAGACCATGGGTAGATATGTCAACCCTTTAACAGGCCTCACAGGAAAGATAACCAACACAGACCATGGGTAGATATGTCAACCCTTTAACAGGCCTCACAGGGAAGATAACCAACACAGACCATGGGTAGATATATAGATACACAGTACCCTCTGTTGGAGCAAGAACAAGCCTTGCCTCTTTTTCAGTGCTGTTAATAGTTTTACATGGACATGAGCTAAATGCACAAGACTGGGAATATAATACCCCCATACACACACACACACACACACACACACACACACACACACACACACACACACACACACACACACACACACACACACACACACACACACACTCACAGCTCTGGCCAAGCTCAATAACATGGGGGATGACATTGATACCTCTACTGGGAAATGGAGTCTAATCATAGCTATGCCTCCCCCATCCTTTGAACCAACCTCTGCCCCAACACATTAAGATGAAGGGTCCTTCTAAGACTGGGGCTT